AGATATAAAAAATAAAAATTTAGTAGAAATCCACAAAAAAATAACTTGATTTAGTCTAGAAGAATTTTGCACAAACTTAAAAAAATTACAAAATACTCATAGTAGATAAATAGGTATAACTATATACCTAAACAAAATATAGTTTAAACAAAAAAAGAAAGGTTGAATACTCTAAGCTAAATGTAATTGATCCTCAAACAACTCCATTCAAAGTTGGTATTTTGAGTTTTTTTTCTTCATTTTTGTCTCCAAAATCTTAAATTTTTCTTTAAAAAATATAGACCTTCTTCATTTTCTAAATATAAAATACAAAACTCAAATTTAAGTTCCTTTAAACTGTCAAATAATTTTAACATCAAATATATATATATATTGTAAAAGGCAACAAATATACATATTGAAAATATATTTTGAACCTCCTCAACATTTTTACCATTAAAACCAATCCAACTCACACTTTTATTTGCATCTTAAGATTAAGAGACATCAATTATATAAAACTAAAGCAAACAATTATAAATCTTTCAAACAAATGTAAATAAAATCTAAATAATAATATAAATTAATAAAATTATATTTTAATATAAAAAATTTACCATTATCAACCTCTCTCATAATTTTGGTTTAATAACACGGTCTTAAAAATATAAATCAAAGTAGTTAATAAAAGGAAAAGAAAAAATATTAAAAACTGTAATATTTAAAACCAAACTGAAGAAATCAAAAATAGGAGAATCAAAGTGTCAATTGATGAAAGACGAGAGACCAGACAGTTTTCCAATGAAGCAACAAATTGCATTTTGGTCCAAAATCTCCGACACCAACTCTGTGTCCGCTCTACAGTGAAGGTGTCAGTACTTCCTTTGAAGTGTCGACACCCTGAGCGATTTTCAACAAATCGCAGCCCGTCTTCATCTTGGCGGAGGTTCCGGTTCCCTTCTCATTCAATATTCTAAAACCTTATAAATATACTTTCCAGATAAAAATTGATAAGAGCTTTTTGGAGGCTTTTGCCGCTATTTTGGAGCACTCTATAAAACCAAGTTAGAGGTGATAAGCAATATAATTAATAGGTAAATATTATTAAAATATTATCATAAATATTAATAGTAAAAAAATATTAAAATTAAAAAATATATAATTTAGTAAAAATTTTTCAAGTTCAGTTTATTCTATTAATAAATTTGGAATACCAATTCTTTTATTTTTTTCATTAATTATTATTAATTCCTATTTTTATTAAAAAGAATATAACTAACTCACTAAAAAAACATAAAACTCCTTAAATTAATCTAAATTTAGGTATTATTGCCTCTATAAATTATATTTAAACGAAGAAATTAGAAATCACAACAAATGCAAAAGAAATGAAAGGTTAGGTTGTGTTGAGTCTTTATGTTTTGAATTATAATTATATTCTTTAATATTTTAATATTTTTATTTACAAAATTATCAAATACAATAAAAGAAATTCTTATCACAATAAATAATTATAATAATACTCAATCATTACTTTATTTATTAAATCATATAATTAAGAAATCTACAACACATATTAAAATTCAAGATAAACCACCAAAAATAGTACATACAAGGTACAAATATATTTACTCTATTATTATTTTCCTTTTAAATTTAATAGATTTCCTATTACAATTATTTTTTTTTTTCTGCAGAAAAACTCACATGAATAAATCGACCCCCAAAATCTTTTCCAAAGGATAAGAATCATTTGAGCAAGATGTTAAAATTTATATCTATTGAGGTAGAAAAGCTATCATTAAAACTCGGGTAAACTTGAGTAATATATTTTATAGAAAAATTATTATATTTTATAATAATTTTTTTGGGTGCAAATTATATTTTATAATTATAAAAATTACCTTTCGTCATTAAATTGCAGGAGAAAATATTCAACTGTCAAGTACACAATCAAACTACCTAGAAAAACAGCAACGACTAAGATTAAATTTCCATTCAAACTATTCTACATTAGTTATTAATTCAATAAAATTTTTAATAAATTAAAGTTTTGTTAATGTACTCCTTTTTTATAAAATTTTCAATGTATTTTTTAATGTAAAAATAAATAATAAATTTTTAACATAGAATTTTATAAAAATGATTGAAAACCCGCGTGTAGCGCGGTTTGATCACTTGTTATTTGATATGAAGAACCGCGCAGAACCGAGGGTTTGAGTGTGATTTGATCCATTTTGAAAGTTTTCACGAGTAGGGTTTTTGTTATTGAAGCTGGGAAGTTAAAAAGGCTGTTTTTCTTTTTTTCTTAAAAAAAATTTTTCTTTTTCAACGTAATACTTATCGTTGCTAGAGGGAATTTTAAGGCAGTTAATATTTTGGTTAAACCCATAATATGGTCCCTCAACTATTATATGGTCTCCTGATTTGGTTTTTAAATTCAAAAAATTATTGATTTGGTCCTTAAAATTTTTAAATTTGACTATAAGTTGATCTTTCCAGAAAAACAATTGATGTGTTTTATTATTAAGTGACACATAGTTATTAAGTAATAGTTTTTTACTATTAAATAACAGACACGTCAATTATTTTAAATGAAATAATCAACTTAGAGTCAAATTTTAAAACTTTAGAAATTAAATCAGAGATTTTTTTAATTCAAAAACTAAGTAAAAGTCTATACAATAGTTAAGGGGGCAAATTAAGAGTTTAACTTAATATTTTATATAGGAAAAAGAAAAATCAAAATATCTTAACAGTAAAATGTTAAAAATGTCTCGTAATAGTCATATGATGAATTTAATAAAATGAAAGCACACATTATACCTTACATATCATGTGATTATTATTAGATATCCTGATAATTTTAATGACAGGAAGATCTAATTTTCCCTTTTCTCATTTTATATTTTATTTTATAAAATTATCTCCGTATATATTTAGGAAAACATAAAAAAAATTACAGTAATTAAATTGCAAGGATAAGGATAAAAAAATAATTTAGTAAAATGAAAAATAAAATATTGATGACTTTAATAATTTCACTAGTGGCCATAATAATTCTTAATACCCCCTCTATTTTAATTGTTATGAAATTTTAAATAATTTTTAAATTGCTTATATAGAAAGTACATATTTTATAATTTAAATACAATTTAAATTATAAAATATAAACTATTAAATTAAATAAAAAAATCTTTAATATTAAATAACTCACCTATACTTGATAATTAATATAATTTAATTTAATATGATTTAAATTATGCAACACTATTTTTACGCTAAAATATGTATAAAATCAAAAAATTGATACAAAACAATAAACAGACAAAGTAACTTGCTTTCAACTTTTCTACAGTCTAGACAGTTTCTCGAAAAGGAAAAACAAAAATTTTTATTGCCCTTATGGTCAAAAAAGTTTATTTTATTTCCTTCTCCTCACAGCAAGTAATTTTTTTTATAACCTACCAAGTTAACTGGTTCAATAATAATGTTTTTTTTTTTTTAACATAATGTGAATAATATAAGTTAAAGAGTGGGAGAATGATACAGCCTTTTTTTTATGCATTTTAAAATTAAAATTTTCATACAAGACTTCCAATCTAACTTGCTCCAGTAAGATAATTTTTTTTTTTTTAACATAATGTGAATAATATAAGTTAAAGAGTGGGAGAATGATACAGCCTTTTTTTTATGCATTTTAAAATTAAAAAATTACCTTTTTTTTAAACTATAGACAGGAGTTAAGAATGATTTTCACATAGTAATTTCTTACAATAGGCGGCAAAATGCAGATAAAAAAAAGTTTGCAAAAAATTACTTTCATAAGCATAAAATTTTATTGGTATAATTCTAATCTCTTTCTTTCTTCCTTTCTCTCAAACCACTTTTGGTCCCTTAAACGAAAAATAACTTTAAAAATGTTCAAATGCAAATTGTCCCTAAAATTGTTATATTAAAGTAAATTATTCGATAATTGTCCCCAATTT